AATTATATAGTCAATTTTTAAATTAACTAATATCTTAATATGAGGAATTTAAATTAAATTTAATTACGTCAATCAATGTTAGTGGAAAAACAAGAGAATGTAATGTAATTTTCACGGCGAGGAACAAAGGAAAGCGAAAAGACGAAGCATCAACTGTCAACCCATTGTTCCATCCCTTAATCCACTTCGTTTGCGCAAAATAATCGCGCCCACCTCATCACGCACACTCCAACCAAAACCTCCAAAAAACCTCCAAAAAACTTCCCTCTTTCGATAAATTACCTTTTCCAAAACTCGCGAAAATCCATCCTTTGTCATCGACCAAAACTCGTCAAAAACCTCTCGAAAATCTTTGATCGACAAGTCGCAAAGATTTATGAGCGTATCGACTTTGCATCGATAAAATGATGTAGCCAATTTAACGTTAGTGGGAGGGGGTAAAATGTGTTCGAAGTTTGGACGTTTTAAGAAGTTGAGAATGGATCCATCGTCGAGAAACGTCGAATAATCGAAGCTGAAAAGAGGACGGTGAACCGAGGTGTTTCGTCGCCAATTTCTCCAAAGTCGAAATATATTGGCTTAGTTTTCGAACGATGTGCTTGGATACACGGGTTAAACGTATCCAACGGAACATCTTTGTGACTAACAACAGCTTCCGGCTACGTTTCCTCGTGTTCTGGGTAAAAGAGCGTGTTTCGTTGGCGAATTAAATGATTTCACGCTCAAGAGAGGCGTTGTTCTTTTTTTTTTGAAGGGAGGAAGAGAGAAAATTCCAAATAATGTCATTTTGGCGCGAAATAGAAATTTGACTTCGTGTAAAAATTAAACGAGTTTGACATCGGGGACGTGTTTCCGTCCGGGATGCGATAAAATTTTCATCGAGTCGGATTTTGCATACATTTTGAACGAGCAGTTTCTCGCGACTGCTAATTTCCTGGCTGACTGTCAGACGTACACTTATCGATCCCAATAAGATTACCTTGGAGATACCTTCCTCTTATTAGATCACGTTAATTCTCTCGTCTATTTATCATATCGTCGATCCACGATCCACACAATCCTTCCTTACTTTTACTCGTTTTCAACGGATTCTACACTCAAGTGATTCTATACTCAACGTGAAACGACTGTTTAATCGATTTTAAACGCGAAATTAAAAGACGGTACGCAAAGATATGTGGAACGAAGTAGTTGATCTATTAAATCATAAGTTTCCCGATTCCTTAAATTTTGTTTCGATCACCCTTTATATTCTTCGAAACTGGGACAAAAAACGAACAACTCGTCGTCTTCAGTCGGCTTCTCAAAACTCTTCGAACTTCGCGCCTTTTGATACTCTTCCTCGTCTCTTCCAATCCCTCCTTAATTTTCAAATCCTCAATCAGGACAAACAATCGGACAATAACGAATCAACCGAGCCGTGAGAGTATCCCTCTGAATCCGTGGAGGAAGAGAAGGATGCAAGAAGGATGACTCCTTTAAAGAAGCGTCGAGTCGGAATATCGTTACCCAGAAAAGTTACGTTGTTTTCCGACCGGCTTAGAAGAACAAGGAGTCGTACTTCAGTTACGCATACACATACACATTTTTAATCCAACCACGACTAGAAATACATCCGAGTGGCCGAGGAAACGCGGTCCAGAGACTATGCATATTTAATAAACGGAAATGAATAACCGACTTCTTTGCTCTTCCACGCTCCGCATTTTCGATGTGTGTCGATCCTTTTTTAAATTATCTCTCCCTCGAAATCCTGTTTTCCTTTTCTTCGAGTCCCTTTCGGCGTCCTTTTGTCGTCCAAGCGTCAACACGCCTCCCAGTGGCGAGGAATCGAGGGGGTACAAAGGGAATGGATGAGACTACGAACGGAGACGGGATTCGAATCGCAAAAGGGAGTTGGAAGAGAAAGTTGAACGAGAGAGAGATTGTTGGCAGATGTTGAATCGATCTTGATGTTTTAATCAGAGAATCGAACGTTTCTCGATTATTCCCCGATAGGGGAATAGGAGATAAAACGGAACGTAAGGGGGGAGAGGGAAGCAACGTGACGTAGGGGGAATACACAGGAATCGTTTAACAAGCGAGTTAGAAGGTCTGCGTCGCTGTGATCAACGATTCCGTGTGTTCCCCGATCGATGAAACGGCGGTGCACCGATCCACGATCAAAACCCCGTTAAACGAGAACTTCGCGCAGAATCTACGACTTCTTGGCTCGTTCTCGTTGCCAAGCCTGGTTTTAACGGCAACGACCGATGCTCCGATTTTCGAACTATTAATGTAGGAAATTCGAGCATCGTTAAAATTATCGCCACACTTTTTACGAACTCACGAATAATTTTACGTTAAGACAACGTTGATATACGTGGAGAAATATATAAAATTAATTTTTTTTTCAATTTTGTCGCGTCTAAGGTATAATCCCTCCTGTAAATTTTAACTTCAAATTAAAAAACTATTATATTATAAAACTATAAACTTGTACCAAATGTATTCGAAGTAACAAATAATAATTAAAACACGTTTACGACGAAAAGTCTCGCAGTAAACAGAATTGAAACGAGATAATAGATCGGAAAGAGGTTGAACCGATCGCTTTATCGAGGTTTATTTTAGGATAGAGTCTGGATAGAAATTTGCCAGGAATTTCCATTACCGGCCGGACCTGATTTCGTGCCTGGCATAACATCCTCGATGCGGGGGATGCGTTGTTTCGAGTTAACTCGCCACCAAATCCGGAGCAAAACTTTCCTCCGGCTAATAACGGGGGAATAGAATTCGAAAGTGCGCAACGAAGAACGAACGAACGAGAAAGAGAGAGAGAGAGAGAGAGAGGATGAGCTTCTCGACTTCGAGCCGACGAGGCCACGACCTCGTTAAAATAACGAGCCGATTTATTTGTTCGCGATCGCGAGAATTCTCGACCGAAATTCTCTCCAATTGATACATATACACACGCATATACAGAGGAATGAATGGGAACCGATTTCTCCATCGATTACGTGATCGTTTTCTTCAACTTCGATTCCTTCGAACCCCGGGAAAGTTCGTTCGTCGACCTCGAGGAAAATTTTCGTCCGTCGACAACTTTTTCCCAACTTTTCCCAACTTTCATCGTCGGGGCATCGACCTCAGATCGGCGTGCTTGCGGGACAATGATGTAACCGTTACTCTGTGAAATCGTCGCGCGACATCCCCCTCTCTCGATAAATTTGCATAAACCTCGGGGCTCGAAGTTCGAATCGAATATCGAGAAACGCGCGCTTCGGTATTCCAAACAATGGAATAGAAATCTTGGAATCTAAACCGCACAATGAACGGATCACGATCTCTGATAATAATCTCGAGCAAAACTGAATAACATATATATATATATACGTCCAAACTCCGGTTCGAAAACTAAAATTTCGATCGGCCAAAATCGAGGTTCGGGAAGAGAGGGGTGAGTTCATACTCTTCCTCTCTTCAACGCGCTCCCAGGAACATTGTTAATATTCCGCGCCGTAAATGAGGACACATGTTCGAGCGCCAATCAACCTATCGTATTGTTCAAAACGCTTAGGGGAATCACGTACCGGAATAATTGAGAGGATCGAGCCGAATATTAAAGACCGCGTATTCATCATTCGTAATCCGAGGCTCTTATAAACTCAATTAAGGTGAACGTTGAAAAAGAGAGAAAGAGAAAAACAAAACACTTCTCCAAATACTCCTCCAGACCACGACTTCGTTCTCATAACGCGATCAGTCGTCGAGGAAACGATGCAAATGAAAATCCTCTACCGATGATCCTGCTTCCCCTTTTCTCCCTCCCTCTCTTTCTCGTCCCAGGTCGAATTGAATCCGAAACACTTCATCAGGGTGGTTCTTGCGCGTCTCACGATCCATTACACCCTCGTTAATTCGGTGCAAGAGGTGTCAGCCACGGCCTCGGCCAAAAACCTCATCGGCCACCGGTACTCGACCCACCAAATCTCGTTTACATTTATCACTGGGGATGGTTCGTGCTCGCCCACGCACACGCTATATAACCCCCCAACATGCATACACACACACACACAGGGACGTGTATACGGCGCCACGTGCATAAACCAACGATGTTGCCTCGCCTCGCATTCGCGTTTGCTTCTCGTGCGTGGCCGACCAACCTCGGCGGCTATTCATGCTTTGAGACGCGAATATTAAGACTTCAATTAAACCGCGCAGACTTGGAAACTAATACGCCATCGAGTAACTTTGAAGGATTCAAAGAGGGCTCGACATACCGAGGTAGCAAGCCACGAGGAGTTGGAGGAGAGACTATAGGGGATGGATGGATGGATGGATGGATGGATGGATGCAACGCTTCCTTCCACGATCAACGCCGCCGTCTCTCGTCCGGATTCGCGCACAAGGGCATCGTGCGGCTTCCACGTACCGCATCCACGTGACGTGTCCTTTGAAAATGCGAACCCGTAAACACCGATCCAACAACCGCTCGAAAGGAAGAGTCGAAAGGGGTGGAATCGCTGAAAGTAAAGGGGGGAGGTTAGAGAATTTCGCGATATTGCGCGGGTTTCGGTGATACTCGTGAGTTCGGAAGTTTGGAAGGACGAAAACTGAAAGGGGATGTTCATTATAGGGAAATTTGACGGACGAGTTACGGTTAATTTCACCCCGTGTTGAGGCGAAAATCGAAAGAGCCGATTTGCAAGTTTTTTCGATAGAGCTGAAATAATACCTTTTTCCAACTACTTTCTTCTTTTTCGAAGCTTTTACGCGAACAAAAGGAGAATCGGGGCATCGTTTTCTTTTTCTTTCTCGCGTCCATTGCGCGACATCGATTCGTTTAATATAATATTCCATACCGGTGGAGCGATTGAAAGGAGAATCGTGACAACGATGAAGTTTTAATGATATCCCCCGCTTCCGATTTTCGCGCACAGATACGTATCTCCTTTCCAATCGATGGGGATGAGAAACTGAGAAAGAGAAAGAATCGTTAGAAAATTTCCAACTTTTACCCGCTGCTAAATCGGTCACGAATCGTTATCACAATTTTACGCTATTTTCAATTCAGTATCGCAGCCGGTCTTGTAAAGCAAATAGTAAAATAAAAAAAAGAAAAAAAGATCAAACACAGAAGTATATACCGTTCTTCGTTATCCCGAGAAAAGATTCTCCGAAAGGGTGGAATCAAACCGTTAAAATAAACATATCGTTCATTTGCCGCAACGTAGACGTAACAGACAAAAATCACAATTTTAATTCGTTACAATCCTACATCTAGTACATCTGCATAACAAGACCGGATATTGTGTTTGAATTGCAATAGCGCCATTAATCTCTTACTCGTCCCAAATTATTTCCCATTTATTCATATTTATTCGCATTAAGTAATTACGAGCATTTTTAATACCAAATCGTTACAAATATACGAGGAGCACATTAAAATTCCAAAAACGTTATATTTCGAAAGCTCGTAAAACCCGACGCTATTGAAAAATTACAAATTTCACTCGTTCATCGCCTAATATTAACACCTAACTAAAAAAAAAAAAAGAAGCAGACTTTTTCTTTCCACTTCCATATACTTCCATCCCCGATATTTAAAGATACGATCGACGAGATGATTAAACCACGGGAATCGAAGAAAACAAGAGAACAACGACACGAAACGGAGGAAAGCAAAAGCGAAAGTTTACAGAGGAATGGACTTGCCACGTTTAACTTGTCGCGATTTCCTGTTACATTATGCAACACGCGGAAAACGGCGATAAATCCGCGATCCATGCGTGGTCCTCCTCCCTTTTAAACTCTCCATTGAAAATAATAACGCGAGATCATAAAGTTATCCCGAGGAACGAGAAATCGCGATGATGGGTGGCTTCCCTCCCTCTTCCCACGTGTTTCTTTCGTTCTATTCTCGATCGATCCCATCGAGGGAAGGAAGGGGGGAAGGGAAGAAGTAGTGGAGAGAGTGAAACACGGGCAACGCATTTATTTTTCAAGGGCGAAATTTATGTATGACGCCACCGCGATGGATGCCACACGCCGAGATGGGATTCGTGCTCATCGTCGAGCGTTATCGATTTAAGAACGTGGCGGCCACTACGAAACTCCCTTCGTCTCTAAACTCGACGAAGAAGATCGAGCGTCGAACAAGGGAGATCTCCTCCAGGGGAGGAGGAGATCGAGAAACAGCAGACGAATGTGTTTGGAAGGAAGTTGAACGCTCTCTCTCTATCTTGAAGAATAGCGGAGAAGACGAATCACGCGCCACCAATCCCCCTTTTTTTTCTTTTTCATAAACGTCGATTCATCACGATTTGTTCGAAGAAAAAGTTTCGATACGAAAATAAATCCAACCCCAATTTAAGACATCGATTTTTCGAGACGACACTTCCTTCAACATTCTCACCCGTGTGTTAAATTCGTCGCGAATTAATTAACCCACTAACCAAAAAGCAGAGAGACGGAAAAATCACAATCCCAATTTGAGAAACATTGGGATTCGATCCGATAAAACCGTGTTTCTGCCTCTTGAGCTTCTGGAGAGGAGGGGAATGTAAGTTGGACGGGGACAACGACCGCGTGGAATTCGAGTCGAATCGAATTAAGGAGGGGGAAGGCCCGAATTAGGGAGAAGCCGGTTCTTCTTCTTCTGCGGATCGATCTAAAAATATCGGATGGACGCGTGTGCATGCGGTTGCAGCGCATTGCCACTGACCTTGGCGAACCTCTCCTGCGTGTCGAGTATCTCGATGAACAGCGACACCTTATCGTCCACTATCTTGAACCCGTTTCGCGGCTGAGCCAGCAGTTGCTGTATCGCTTGCGAGGTGGTGAGCGGGGTGGCTGGGCTCGTGGCAGGCGTGGAGCTTCTTGTCCCGGTGCTCCCCGTGCCCGTCGAGCTGCTGTTGTGCAGATGGGTGCACCCGAGGAAGATCGGGTTGCCGTTAGGCGAGACACCGCAGTTGAACGGGCGGAACGGTAGGCCGTGAAACGTGGGGCTCGGCCTGGGCGCGGAAGCGCGGAGAAGAGACTGGGCGGAGGGGAGGGAGAGGCGGCGCGTGGCCGAGTGGTTTTGTTGGTTGTGGAGTTGCTGCTGGTGTCCCTGCTGCTGGTGGTGGTGGTGGTGCTGTTGCTGCTGGTGGTGGTGCTGCGCCTGCTGAGCTTGAGACCTCGAGGGTGATTTGAGAATCTGGTAATCGCTGGCGGCAGATGGCAAAGATCGATAGCCGGAGTCTGAGGGTGAGGGAGGCGGCATCGGGGCGGCCTGCGGCGTGGTGGCGATGCTGTGGGGCCTGGATCGAAGCCCGGCGCCGGGTGTCCACGTGTTCGAATTACCAGGATTCGTTAGAATGCTCAGAGCGGGCCCTTGTGACGTGGGCGTGGGTGGTTGGGGATGTGGCAGGGTCGAAG